GCCCGCCCTCGTCGTGCAGGCGGGTCATTGGTGCCCAGAGGCGTGCTGATCGTTTCATTTCTGCCCACGTGCCTCCGTCCTGTCGGGGTTTTGTTTCTCCGTCACGCACATTTCCAAGGTCGTGTTCTTCTCTGCGACTCGAGCTTTGATGCTTTCTTCGTGCACCCGTGTGATTAGACTCGTGTTTCTGCAGGCGGCGTCCGTTTGGCCGTTGTTCAGCGTATTGTTGTGTGTGAGCAGCGTCACGTTCGGCTGACCGTTGTTCTCGTCCGTGGCGACCTCGTGGGAGTCGTTAGCCGGACTGGCGGGACTGGCGTTGCCACGGCGACAGCAGCAGCAGAGTATCCTGGCGACGGGTCTGAAGACGACTCTGTAGAGGCCGCGGCGGGCGCTTTCGCTGACGAAGCAGTAGAGGACGGGGTCGGCCACGCAGTTCAGGGTGGTGAGCAGCAGGGACAGGTGGTAGTAGTTAAATATGGCTGAAAAACAAGAACCGTGTCACCACAGTAATACGGCGCCATCTTTATGTATCGGACGGCTTCCTGCGGGTGAAACGGTACCTTCGATGAAGCTGCACTCCTCCTCCAGCAGCGTGCGCACCAGCAGGAAGATGTGGTAGGGCGAGAAGCAGACGAGGAAGATGAGGATGGTGCTGCTGACTAACTGCCTGATCCTCGTCTTCTGATCCGGCTGCGTTCCCGCGCTCCGGCCCACCGCGCGCAGGACCCACAGGTAGCTGATCTAACAAAAACAAGGCGCCGTGGTTACAGGAGAATCAGGTACGCGTCTACGTTTACGGTGTTTGACTTTTCAGGGATTTATACTTTACACCAGCGCCGCGGACTCGTCAGAAAAACATGAACATTTATTCCCACAGTGAAGAGTTAAAAACACGACATCGAGAAAAGGAAGCGTTTGAATAACCAAATAAGGTCATCACATGTGTGAGCAGCTGGAAATGTTGGACTACAAATATGAAACAACTGAGAACATCATGACGATGTGGGATTAACCCGGCGGACTCTGAGCCCGGAGACGCGTGACCACAACCAGCTCTCGGTCTCTGCACTTCTTTAAGACCGACGCAGAAACCCTGAAACATACAAAGAGCGTGTAAAGCCGTTACCGTACCAACAGAATGGCGAGCGGGAACGTGAAGCCGACGCTGATGCGGTAGTAGTTGATTGGACGTTCCCACGACTTCATGGGGTAGTGCTCGAAGCACAGCGAGTGGTTGTTGGGATCTTGGCTGAGCTCCTTATGGTGAAAGAAAAACACGCCCACCGCGATCTCCTTCAGCCAGATGATGGCGCTGATGATGGACGCTGCTTTCATGGAGCGCAGAGCCGTGAACCTGCGGGCAGAACGGGTCGCGGCGATTTTACTTCTTCATAAACCCAAAGACGTCCTGATCTCAGCCACGAAGGACGAACGACGGGAGAGTCTTACCTCAAAGGATGGACCACAGCCAGGTAGCGATCCAGACTGATGCAGCACAGGAAGCCGATGCTGATGTAGATGTTCTCGTACAGCAGGAAACCACACATCTGGCACAGCCACTCTCGGTGACGCCAATCATCGTCCTGAAACAGCAACAGCAGACTGAAGGTGGATCAAATAAGACAGGCAGGTGGAGGAACTCCACAGACTGCTAATAATGGCCCAGTTCACCTCCACCTAACACCAACTTAGTCCAAGCAGAGCTTTAACACGGCCACAGGTCACGTGACGCTGTTAGCAGGACGCTGTTAGCGGGACGACGTTAGAGAGATCTGTTAGCACGGTGACGTCACAGCAGCCATGTTATTGGTCACATGATGTCATTAAAAATGACCAAAAGGCTCCAACAGCACAAACACGGTCCAGTTCAGGTGAAGCTAGCAGACAGCTAGCATCTACAGCCACCTGTGTCAGCACCCACCTGTCACTCAGAGAGGCCACGCCCCTAAAATGCAAACTTTAAGCCTTAATGTGAGTTACAGACATCCTCCCTCGTACAGCTGTTATAAAGGAGGAAATGATCTACGGACCAAACAGTTTGTGCATCAGGATGTAAACATGTTTATTTCTGCAGGAAAGTTTTACAGTGGGAGTCTCCCTGCTGGAGCCCCCGGTGGATCCTAGAGGAACTGCAGCTCGTGGCACTTTTAACGGCACTGAAGCTGAAGTCGAGCTCCAACCACAGCCTTCCACTGTGGCGGGCGACACCACGGTGCTGTGCTAACTGTCTGTATGACACCGACACTTTGAAACCAGAGCGCCTCAGACACACCGTGAAGAAGCGCCAAGGGAAGAGCGAGCGGAGAGGACGTCTCTACGTTACCTGAAAGAAGTACTGGAGCCAGAAAGGCAGAGACGCCAGGTACAGCAGGTCAGACACAGTGAGGTTCATCAGGTAAACTCCCAGCTCGTTCCTCTGCTTCAGCTGAAGGGCAGCGTGGTACAGCGAGTACACGTTGGCAGGAACGCCAACCTGCAAACACAAGATCGTTCACCATGCAGCACATCCTGGAGCCCCGTTTATCAGCGCTCGGGAAACACTTCCTAAAAGCAAAGACACTTCCATCACTCACCATGAGCACCAGGATGTAGACGCAGGAGAACACGTGCTGGTGGATCTGATGGTCGATGCTGCAGTTGCTCATGTCTTCTTCAGACTTGTTGATCGCCATCATGCTGCCGCTCACACCGTTTCACCCTGACTCGTTCATCTGTCCAGAGCACGCGTGCTGCTCGGCGCTCTGTGCGGTGGATTAACTGCTCTCGTCTCATCGGGCCTCTGATTGGACGGTTCGCTCTGTGGAAGAGGAGACAGTGTAGCTTAGTCCAGATTAGACACACCCCCCTGCAGGTGAGCAGAGAGAGGTTAAAGAAGTAAATACGGTCTCGTTTCTGTCTTTAAATTGAATGTGTGACGTTAATCCCACAGACATTTTCTCAGGTCGTCCTTCAGCTGTTCCTTTAGAGGTCGCCCCAGCGAACCCACGCCATCCACACGCATGCTAACCCTCTGAGGTGCAGCGCTCAGGCTGAAAGAGATTGACTTCCTGTCCGAACCTGACATCTCGCTTGGTTACAGGCTGAGCTCAGGTTTGAAATCCAGCAGGTGGAGACACTGAGCAGCTCTGCAGTCCTCAGTTTGCAGCCACAGCGCTGATGCGCTCCTGCAGGGCACCTGGAAATGTGCAGCATGCAGCCGAGGATTTAAAACGCCAGCCCGTGCTGACTGACGAGACTTTCTGAAGCATTTCTGTGAGCGCGCTCAGTGCTGCTCCTCTGACAGAGTCATGAGAGGATCGGACGACGAGCACGTTGCTCTGGGAACTTCCTGTTTGTATCTTTTGCTGTTTTATCTAACGCTGAAACGAGTAATCTGTGCACAGATATGAAGACATGGTTCTGGGTCATCATCATCTCAAACCAACATTTTCTCATTTTTAAAGTTGCATCCTCTGTTTTTCTGCAGCTGTTTGAAATGAATATGTGAGAAACTTGAAGCGTCTGAAACGTTTCCTTCCTCGGCCTGAATCAGCATCTGTAATTTGGGACAGAGACGTTCAAACTGTCCTGCAGCTCTTCAGAGATGCTCCGACTGTCAGCTGTTCTCTCCCGTATGGAAAAGAAATAGTAAAAACATATGATTTACTCATGAAAGTCGCCACTTTCTCATTACTTTCATATTTTTTTAGTAAGTATACAAAACATACAAGTTTCATTATATAATTTTATATGTGTTTTCACTCTTGTTTGCTTTTCATACAACTTTCATACAAGACAGACACAAACTTTATAAGATTTATAAATATCTTTTCCATATGGGCTCCCCTCCACCTGTGCTCGCCGTCGCCTCTTTGCAGCTCGCCGTGATCAGCCTAACGCTGACCTGAGGCTTCTTAGGAGTGAACCTTTCTACTGTCTTCACGTGTTCAGCCCTTCGCCCCAGCAGCGACTTCCTGTTGTGGTGTGGCACGTCTCAGAGTAAAAGCAGCCTGTTTCTCTGCGGTTAGTGCTGACGTCTCACAGTGACGTGGTTCCTAGTTTGAATCCTCTCTCTCTGTGTCTGCGTGGGTTCTCAGACTTAGTCCCACTCATGACATGAGGTTGGCGGGGGACTGCCTGCAGGTGTGGGCCGGTGTTAAATCTAAAAATACACGGATGCTGTTTCACATGTAACATCTTTATTTAAAGCTCGTGTGAACACAGGCCTCTCGGCTTCATTGGAACGACCGCAGTCAGGAAATCGTAACAAGGATCTTTGACTGTCTTAAAGAAAGACGAGTTCGATGAGACAAACCTGAACTGCTCGGTCGTCCTCTCAGATCTCTGCACGTCCTCACACCACACATTTAAAATCCTTTCACAAAGCAGCGATATTACAGTGAGATGAAATCTGTGCAGCTCAGACAACACACAGCGACCCAGCTTTCAGCTTTTAGGCTCCTCCCCTGTGCAGCAAACGTCCTGAACACCTGAGATCAGCCCAAACTGCCCAAAGTCCTTTGTGCTTCACATCGTGACACCTGTGAGATGTGTCGCTGTGTCTGCTGGCTGGAGTCTGAAACACCAGCAGAGACATCAGCCCCGAGTCACTGCTGACAAACGACCAACAACAGAGCCGCGCAGCATCACAACAACCACGATAAGCTTGTTCTTACAGACGAATCCCAGGATCTGCTGCTCGCTGCAGTGGACTCGCTGCGAATCAACCTTCATGTGTTCACACTGAC